AACCGGAGTAAAGAACACTCATCATCAGTGAATCAAGTCTGCTGCCAGATGAATGTGTCGCGTACAGGCACAGTGCTGCCAGCATGTCAATGAAAGAGCTGTTTGCCACTGACTATTGACTGCTGGGTAAATACCACACACAGTAATAGAGCTTCGAGCTCAATGGATGACGCCATTCATGGAGCACGAGACAGATATAATGGTTTAATCAATGATAGAGCCATTTATTGTTTGTGTCATAGCCAGGTTGCTTATTCAGTGCTGGACTACCATGGAGCCTAGAGTGCAGCATGAATGTTGGATTGGTTTTCTATTGACTCTATGCAGTACTCCTGTGTGCCTGAAAATGTAGGGTTAGGGTTAATGATAAGTATTACACCCACAGTCGTTGGAGAGTTTCAGCAAAGGTGTTGTTTAGAAGTTTCAATATACCTAACACATCATGGGAAATGTTTAAACACAACACACCCCCAATTCTACAGCGTTTTAAGAATGGATGTATAAAGAAAACTTGTTGGAGGCGGGACTCCATTCGCTGAGAGTTGCTCAGTGGTGCATAAAGCCAAAAATACCTGAATCTGGGACACAGAGATTGCGCTATTGAGATATGCTTAAGCCCCACCTTCAATCCGCAGTTTCAGTCAAATAAGATAAGATAAGCGCTTAGAGCATCAGGAAAAGCGGGAAAACTTATTTTGAACTATATTTGACCAGAATTTGGGAATTTGTAACAAAAAAAGCCAGAAATGCTTAGACATTTTCTCTTTTCTGATGTCAGCTGGAGATTTTCCTATAAAATAAGATGTTTTTAAGAGACTTTGACTTAAAAAGATGCTTAAGATGCCTGGTCTAAAAACAAGACTTAAAGGGGACCTATCATGCAAAATGCACTTTTGTACGTCTTTTATACATGAATATGTGTCCCCGGTGTTCCAGGGAACTCACCAAGTGTCAGAAAACACAATCCTCTCTATTTTCCTCCATACCCAAATCTCTAAAAAAGGAGCTGCAACGGATCTGATAAAAACTGATCCAGATTTGAACACTGTCCTGACGTCAGGACAGTGGTGCTACGGCTATTGGGCCAACTCCACCAATCAGGAGGAGACAGCCACGGCCATTGCCGTTCGAAAGCGCTGGAGACGCTGTAGTACATATGCCAGGCCTGTAGGTGGTGCTGTTCTCACAGAATCAGCCCTTGCAAAAACAGAGCTAAAAAAGTGCAAATTGAGCGAAATGAGGCATGGCTAAAATGCATGATCTGTTTGGTATTTTGAAAAAAAAAAAGTATAAATATGCCTTATATAGGTATGGAACTACACTATATTATTCAAATATAGCATGATAGGTCCACTTTAAGTTATTACGTCTTATATCAAGTGTAACGACATATTCTGACTAGAAATTAGACAAATATACTTGGCAAGATTTTACATTTTTGCATTGTGGTGTCTTTGAGCATATCACACCAAAACATCTTATTTGGCCACAGTGCATTGTGGGTAATGTAGGCACAAGTTTTCTGTAACAAAAAGGCAATATCTCTCTGCCTTGATGTTGATCTTTTTAATGTATTAAACTGTCCGACTTGAGCTGTATTTGCGCATTGACTGGCTTGCCAGGGATTTTGGTTGAATACAGTTGGCCCTTGTTGTGGTCTGTCTGTTTCCAGTTTTGTTTTACTCTTCTTACGAGAAGCCTGACTCTGGAAGATTACGTTTCAATTTGCTTCCTTCCACCACTATTTCACTGAGATGTTATTGTTGCCAAGCAGTGTCACTCTATAAAGAGGATTTTTGAAAGCTATCAATCGGATGCAGAAAACAAATATTTTCCCTCTTGTCATGCTTTCGGGGGGTTTTCCAGTTGTCTTTACAGCTTGAAATAAATAAACCTTGCAATGGGCAAAAAATATATTGAACCAGGAAAAGGGCCGTATGCTTTGTGGGTGTAATCTATAGACACAAAACAAATGGCCCTATTCCCATCAACATGTTGTGTACACAGTGAGCCATTTAGAGTTGTATAAACTAATAATCTAATTAAAAAACGTACATGTGTGCTGAAGTGATTGCAACAGACTAACTTCTGAAGCAAATAATTGGCTCCCAATAATGAAAAAGAAAGACCTGAAGTTTGCCAGTTTGCTTTTGCACATTCCTTTTACAGATAAGGCTGCAAACCCCGCAGAACAAGATGCTGCACAAACACAGGTCAGCCAGTAAATTCTCTCTCAACACAGATCCCATCTCTGAAGCTTCTTCCTGGCAGGTTCATGTCCAACCAGCTGGAGGTCATGAACTTCAAGCCTTAGGCAAATGTAGGTTAGGAACCCACAGGCTAGGTTGACCTCTCTTTTAGGATAAATTACGAAATTGTCAGGGTTGGGAAAATAGGACCCAAATGCAATTAAAAAGAAAAAAAAGGTCAAGTAACAAAAACCTAGCTTTATTTAAGAAAAAACAAGAAAACACCTCAAATCCATGAACCGATAGCATGAGGTAGCATCCAGACAAAAACCCGACAGGGACAAACATGGAGGTGCAAGGAAGACATGAAAGTCGACGACCGAACATGGAGCAAAGGGGAAGACAAGACTAAATACACAGAAGGGTAATCACAGGGCAAGACACAGCATGGGCAGGGGAGGCAGAAACACAACAACAACAACAACAACAACAACAACAACAACAACAGGTGAACACAATCAGACAATCAGACACACCAGGGAAACTAAAGACAGGAAGGCAAACACAGGAAGTAGGACCAGACAAGACACTAGGAGGAAAACATTTCAAAATAAAAGGTGGAAAATGGCAACATAAATCCAAAACCATGACAGAAATGAGCAACCTTTTTTTCCTTTTACTTGAGTCATGACAGGATGGACTGTGTTTCTCGGACATTAAAGAGGACACATTTCCAGGTTCCTATTTGTATGTAGTGTCTCTACTGTGACATGTCTCCATGCTTTAATGTTCAGAAAGCTCTTTATTTTTCCCATTCTGCCTGTGCTGCAGCACCTCTTTTCACCCTCTGTCTGAAACCAGAGCCCAGTCTGCTCTGATTGGTTAGCTGGCCGGCTCTGTTGTGATTGGTCAACCCCTTACAGATGTGTCGGAAATGTGTTGGAGTGCTAGCCAATAGAAGCGTGAGCGTTTAATAGTGATGTTATTATGTCACAGACAAAACAAAGGAGTGTGTGGGAGAGAAACTCCCTCCGGGGGGATTTTAGTCTTTGCAGATCATTTGCATACTGTTATGTGTTTAAAGCTTGATGCACTGATCCATGGTGAATGCTATGGTTGAAAAGACATGGGCTACTGACAGAAAGCCAGATTGTACAGCAAACGTTGGGCTTTAGTATAAAACGATGGTCCTCGATCACAAGACATGTGCTCCAACAAATGTCAGACAATAACAGAAATGTAGGACAGAAGTATCACCTCTGACTGCTGCTCTCTCACCTAGATAATGTTTATTTATCAAGCATGGGAGACACAGAGTAAACACAGTGTGACATTAATTAATTCAAAGAATACAATCTCTCATTTGCTGTCTTTTATTTACCCAGAAAAAAACGTGTTAACAATGAGTCATTCAGATGACTGTTGACATGCGAAGAACGAGGAGTGCTTGGCTGAATACCAAATGAACACATGTTGGGAGGAGAATAGATATGGCATTTACAGTGATCTGTACTTCATCTCCTTCCTTATCGTTCAATTGGCTGAACAAATCTGCAATACATATCCATCTGAATAACAAACCCTTAGGGAGTTTTGATAATTGGAAATGTTAGATATAACAAACTTATTTCCTACACATCAGGTTTTTATTTTATGATTCATTAACTCTCATTAAAAGCTCCAAACTATGTTAAATATCATTGTTTTTGCAGCTGCTGTCAAGTCATTTTAATGTACTTTACATTCTAACTCAAACCAAAACTCTATTAAAAGTATTGATGCAGACACCGGTTTATTCTGGTGGTTTTCCAAGCTGTCAAACATTACTTAAAATAAATAGGGAAACAATATATTTGTACACTTCCCATGTCTGCACGTATAGATGTGTATTCAAGTCACGTCACTTGTGTAACAATGTTTGTTTACCGGGCGATATAAAGCTTGATGGCTCATCCATGTGAGAGGGTAAAAACAGTGTGTAGCCTTGGACCAGTACTATAAATAAAGGTTTAGGAGAGGAGATTTAAAAGAGTCTGCAATAACAGCCTAAGGCGGGAAAATAGTCTTAAGAGGGTGAGTACTGTGTAACGTTGGTGCTGTAGCATAAAAAAAAGGGGCTGATGACATGGCTTTATGTTTTTTTTTTTATATTTGATGGAAAGGATGTATATTTGTGCATTTACATCATGGTTGGTCTTTTTGAAAAGCCTTTACACTTAGCATTATGTATGTGAGGAGGCTCTGGGAGGTAATGTAAAATCAAGACATTGGATATTTACCAAATGACATGCTTAATGAACACATTGTTTTGCCTCCTTTCTGCTCACGTGATCATATATGGTACGTATGGTATACGGTTCCAGGTACCTGACTGAGGCTGGAAAAAGGAGTCTTTTTTATTATGCTCCTTGGTCTTGGAATGACCTTCAATCAAGCTTCAAACTGATGGCACTTGTCCCTATAGCCTGTTTTAAATTAGTGGCTCCTTATTTTCATCTAAAGTGACAGACAGAGAATCAGCACTTTTGAAACAGGTCTGAAACAGAGGGGATTATGGGATGCTGCAATGATCTGTTTGGTATTTTGAGCCAAACACTTCAGAGACATGTTCTGTATATATCTTGAGACCTATAATATATTGATGAAAAACACCATTATTAGGGGACCTTTAAGGCATTGTTTATTCTTTTTCATTTGAAAGTAAACCCATGCTTCTAAAAACAATGTGGGTCAATGTTCTGCCGCTTTTATGTTGTAAATAAAAGTAAATTGCCAACATCTAATCTCTCCTTTTCTTGTTTCTTTTACAAGTCTGCCACCATGATATGGAGATGGGTTCATTTAAGTGCTCTTCTTCTTGGAGCACTCACATCCCCAACTCCATCCTCCCAACACACCACTAACACTGACGGAGAATCTTGTCGCATCTACAGATCTGGCCGCTCAGCAGACTGTCTGGGAAGACAGTACGTAAATATCCCGTGGAGACAATTTCCATCCACACTGGAAGTGATAGATCTCTCTTACAATAAACTTCAAGCTGTCCGTGTTGACGACTTCCTCCGCCTCCCTCAGCTTCACACCCTAAAGCTGCAGTACAATAACATTTCACACATTGACAAAGATGCCTTTAAAAACAACACGCTGCTGGAGCATCTTAACATCTTCAATAACTCCCTGGAGGAAATTCCTGCCGCAGCTTTGTCTCCTCTGTTGAATCTGAAAAAGCTCTACATGTCCAATAACCTTTACAAAAGTGCGACTTTGGCTCATAGCTTTTCCAAATTTGTCAAACTGAAAGTTCTGTCTATGGGTGGCCCTCTGGTGATGGGTCTAAAGAAAGCTGATTTACAGCCCCTGAAGAACATTAAGTTACAGGAATTTGCAATTAAATGTTCATCCGATCTAAGTTACTACGAGCCTGGAAGTTTAGAAGTCATCCAGACAAGAGATATGGGCTTTGATATGGCCATAGATCAACTGCCACATGCTCTTCCATACATGCTACAGGACATTGCCAACAAGACCTTCAGGGCCATCCAATTCCGAAACATCTTTGAGTTCATGTACTACATGGAAGATGAAGACATTTTCAAGGGTTTAAAAGACATCACAGCCCAACAGCTCGTCTTTCACAGAGGTAAATTCAATGAGAATCTCCTCAGTATGGCTTTGATGAACTTACAAGACGCCCCCATCAAAAGGTTGAGACTTCAGTACATCGACTTTGCCCGTTCACCCACGTTTGTTAATAGCGGAGCTGGTTCCAGCATCACCGACCTGGCACTGGATAAGTTGGATCTTTGGTGAGTATCTCCCTATTACGGGGCACCCTGTCCTCGCATAAAATACAAATCATATGGTTTGAAACTTAACCAATGCTAATGTCATAATGTCATGTTTCTTGAATGATGTCATAAAAATGCAGTTTCCAACAACAATTCTAGGCTTAATTGTGGAGTATAAGCTTACATATTATTAAGTTACTCTGCATTCACAAAGAGATTATTAAGTTTTAACCTGTTAAGCCCTGAGCCTGTTTTTCAGGTCTCAGGCTCGAAAATGACATTCCCAGAACAAATGACCATATCTTCCCTTCTAAAAGGGTTAAATTAATAATCTTTTTTCTCAAAGTAATGATAAACCTGTGAGTTGGATGTAGAAAAGTCAGAATCAATATAGAAAATTCAGATTTTACATAGTAAAAAACTGTAAATTATAGTGTCCGTCCAAAAATTCTTTTTTACTTATAGTGAAAACCACCCTTGGATGATGGGTTAGTAGACTAAAGGCTTTAGGAATCCAAAGTACAACATATAATAAGTACCCTGTATCAAGATTGATGCAAAACAAGTGACATTTGACCTTTTTATAGAGATTTAGCAAAAAGAAACCACTTCTGGGGTCATTTGGGTGGATTTTCCATTTCTCTGGCCCCCCTTGCTCGATTTTGATGGTTGACACCTCTTTCTGACCGTTAGAGCCAATAGAATCGAAGGGGGAGTCCCCCACACACACACGTTGTGAAGGGAAAAGGTGGGGGCTTCGCGCATGTAATTTTGCATCAGAGTGGACCTATCTCTAGCTTTGACATCTGGAAACGGAAAAGCAGTTTTATTGCTTATGGATTATCAGAAATCATTTCAAAGGGACACAGACACATTAGATTAACGTATGGATTAACTTCAGCAGCGTTCTTATCGTTGTAATGCCATTGAAGACCACTTTGGAGAGACTACAGAGCCAAGGTAAAAATGTTAGCATTTTTAGCTACCTAGCGTCACCTGTTTTGATGTCCGTTTTTGCTTATAACGTCGCAAATACGTATAATTCAGTGGTAATGTTGGTGTCAATAGATTCGGTGTCACCTCACGATGTGAATCGATGTCATGGATGTAGAGAAAAGACAAATAATAAGGTTTTGTGAGTGATTTTCGGTGCAGTAAGGTGTTAGCATTTTTCGCTCGTTGCTAATTCAGAGGCTCAGTGTTAGCATTGTGGGTTTTCTTTTGAAAAAAAAAAAAAAATGATCAGTTCGATGAGTTTCTTCCCGTTACATGGATATAAAACATTCATAGTTTATTAAATGAACATGCCCTCAGACACTGTTTCCTGCAAGATGTTGCGGCAGTGCCCCGGTACCGGGGTCTCTCGGGCTTAACAGGTTAAGTCTATCAGGAATTCACAAACTTGCAATTACCTGACTTGATGTAGGTTCAAACCAAAACTCACAATATGTATAAGGTAGTGACATTGAAAAGAAATGTGTGCTAAAACTGAAATTCCTTCAGACCGTTTACCACAATAATAAATGCAGCTGAAATAAGTTTTGACAATTTTACAAAATGCAAAAACAATTAGATGCAACCTTAAGTAGCCAGTGTGCCACAAAAGTCAAATAGCACACGATGCTAAATTAATTAGCCTTCATTTAATTAGATTTCTCATAAGTAGCTCCATCTACCACGTTTTTAACCCTAACCCTAACCCTAACTGAACCCTTTTAAATATATTTCCTAAAATGAATCACTTGGTTTATGTAGCATACTGCATCATGTTTACAGCTGACTTGGAAAACTACCACAATTACCTGTAAAATAAATGGATGCTAAAACAAATCTCTATTTCTTTAGGTATATCAGCAACCCTGATATCCTGAGATTTGACTGGCGCTTCACCTGGTTCAACAAAGTTAAGGAACTGTCCATTCAGCATGTGTACTTCAACTTCGTTCCCTGCGATGCCTGGGTTGAGATGGAAGTTGTGGAGATACTGGATGCCTCCAATAATCGTCTCAATAATGAGTTCCTGTTTAACAAACAGTGTGATTACAGGGGCGCCGTGCCAAATCTTCATACCCTCAACATGAGCAGAAATGTCCTTACCAGTTTAAGAGACTTGTCAATGCTAACAAAGGAGTTCAAGCAGCTGCATGTATTGGATTTTAGCTATAACCAGATGGGATCTGCTGAAACAAGTCAGGACTGTGTTTGGCAAATAAATATCACCAGGATTATAGCTCACCACAATCCATTTGTAAGTGAAGCTCTCCAGTGTCTGCCCACCGCGGTGCAGTACTTGGACTTGTCCTACTGCAACCTCGACCAGCTGGACATGATGTACTTTGAGAAAGCCACCAACCTGAAAGAGCTCCTGTTAAGTGGAAATAAAATCAAGTATATACCATTTAAGTGGAAAAGTCAGTCACTGCAGTCACTATCTTTGGATGGGAATTCGTTTGGTCTCATTAGCAAGGCGTCTTTCCAGGATATGCCTCAACTATCTCAGCTGAGGGCAGGGAACAATCCTTTCCATTGCACCTGTGAACTCTATGCTTTCGTCCAGGATACGATTTCAAAGGCAAAGGTTAACCTGACCGACTGGCCTTGGAACTACAGGTGTTACCATCCAGAGGCCTTGCTAAACACAGTCATATCCAAATTCTTTCCAAGTCATGTGGCCTGTGACACCAGACTAGTGATCATCATCTCTGTGGTGACCACTGCAGCAGCGATCTTGATATTAATGCTGATTTGCTATATTTTTGACCTGCCGTGGTACACGAAAGCAACGTATCAGATCATCCGGGCCAAATACAGATATCACAAGGAAAAGGCGGCGGGGGAATTGGAGAATTTTACTTATCATGCCTTTATATCATACAGCCACTCTGATGCAGACTGGGTGAGGGAACAGCTCTTACCCAGTTTGGAGAATAACAAGAACCCTTATCGTCTGTGTATTCATGAGAGGGACTTCATGCCAGGAAAGTGGATCATCGATAACATCATTGACAACATTGAAAGCAGCCGTAAGGTACCGACATTGAGTTTTTCTTTACATGGCAAAATACAACACACGGAAATATTACAAAGCAATGTACTTCATGTTTCATTTTGCATTTTTTGTTGTGTCTCCATCCTCAGGTAATATTCATCCTCTCTCGGCACTTTGTTAACAGCGAGTGGTGCAACTATGAGCTGTACTTCACTCAGCAGAGAGCAATGGGAAAGACCTTTGGGGATGTCATTCTTGTGATGATGGAGCCCATGGATGCCGGGTCCATTCCCAGCAAGTATTGCAGGCTGAAGAAGATGCTCAGCACCAAGACATACCTGGAGTGGCCCCAGCAGGTCAACCTGCAGGCGTTTTTCTGGGCACAGCTGAGGAGTGTTCTGGGCAAGCCGACAATGACCCGAGAGGAGAGGCACAGCGTTAAGAGCAGAACTTTATCTGTGGGCGAAGTTTCTGTGATTGGGCCCCCCATCGGAGATACCAGGCCTGAAGGAGCAACATCTAATGCAGACAAAGAAGCAGTACCAAAAGATGAGATCATAAAAAGGAACAACTGTGAACTTTCCAATCAAAGACAAATTCCTCTAGTGGCACTTTGACAAAAAGGATAGAAAATAAAGAGGTTTTTTTTCAGTAGTGTCAAAGTACAGAACTGAGTTCAGGTAACCTTTTGGAAATGATGTATGTAAAAGCTGGGAGCAGGAGCCAACGTCTCATTATGAGGAAAAGGACATTACCATTTGACAGCCCATGGCATTCTGTCGTGTTTTCCCGAGGACCCAGAGATGCCCCCTGCTCCACGACAGGCCAGCTGCCAGGCTCCGAAACGCCACAAGCTGAAGATTTCTCCTTTTGTAATCTGGATACAGTAACAAGTGTGGTTTCAGGACGATATGGTGACAGGAGCCTGACTGTGAAAGGACTATGGTACATCTTTGCTCCTCTATATATAAGATATCAAGGGCCAATTCAATGGCCTAAATATAGCGATATAACAGGAATGCGTCCGTTAAACTGGACATATCATTTTGAAATCCCTTATGAATGTTGGTAGATATTTAGATTTAGCACGCCATGCTAGCTCTTCACGATGGGTAATGTTTAGTGGTTAGTTAAATCCTTGGTAAATGTTAAACATACACACATATGATTGACTGTCCTTTGTATTTAACCAATTCTTTGCACTGACATAGCCCATGATTTCATAGTGGCTTTTTAACAAACCCTCTAGTGTTTCAAGGTTGACAGATAATCACTAATTTGATTGCTGTCAGATACATTTCTTACAGTGGTTTGTAACGTTAATGTCAGTGTTTTCAATACGTGGTATTTTATTGATGGATTTGAGTTAAGTTGAGTTCACACTTGTGCAATACAATGATGATGAATGTTTCTTAAAATAACGTGATATTTTACAAATGACTTATTAGCTTTCACTTTCACATGAAGTGCATGAATCAGTATTATGTAACACTTTAAAAGCAGTCACTTTTAACAATTGTACATGTGAGACCTTTTGTAGAAATTGCAAATGGCCAGCAGATGACACCCTTGAACTTGGTTTGGTTGATGTCCTAGAGAGCGAGAAAGAGGGAGAGATGAGTTACAGATGAAGGAGACCAGTGTTAAAAATGTTGTGTGCATAATCATTATCATATTCTAGACAAACATGTTTGTTTCCCCTAGAATTTCAAAACTTACTGTGTTCCGTAGTTGCCGTAATATGTAAAGTACAGTATGTGCCTCATTTTAATTACTTGTGAAATGCTGGACATTTATACTTCTCGTTTTTTGTGTATTATTGTGTTATATCCTAGCAAAAATGACTATAAGATTGTGATTTTGTTTAACGGCTCTTACCCACAGACCTAGCGTCAAAGGTGTTAATGTGAGATAGTCGTAACATAACATATGTCAGAATAAAGTCTCTAAACTAACTAACTAACTGTGTGTGTGTGTGTGTGTGTGTGTGTGTGTGTGTGTGTGTGTGTGTGCGTGCGTGCGTGCGTGCGTGCGTGCGTGCGTGCGTGCGTGCGTGACAAACCCCCGGCTCAGCCCCTTGCAGCAGTCAGGACATAGGCACGCCGTCCCGCAGCAGACAGAGAGTCTGCAGCCAGAGCGAACACACAGATAAATTATATGGACAAATGTCTCATCAAACTGTCACAATGATCCCAGACAATGCACGCAGCGCTCCGCAACCACAGAAGAAGAAGAAGAAGAAGAAGAAGAAGAAGAAGAAGAAGAAGAAGAAGAAGAAGAAGAAGAAGAAGAAGAAGAAGAAGAAGAAGAAGAAGAAGAAGACACAGAGAGAAACAGAAAGGCTATACTTAAAGTGTCGGATGTGCAACGTCACTCAAGATTGCTCAACAAGTTGCATGACCTGTACTCGCTGTGTGTGTGTGTGTGTGTGTGTGTGTGTGTGTGTGTGTGTGTGCGTGCGTGCGTGCGTGCGTGCGTGCGTGCGTGCGTGCGTGCGTGTGTGTGTGGTGGTCAGCCCTGAGTGACACAGGCACAAGAGGAAGGAAATATGGCAGATTGTACGTTTTGTACAACGCAATATATATTTAATCTTCAAAATACATGTGTGTTTGTGGTAACGTTACACATTTCACTTTTTCAATGATTGAGACATGCGTTCTTTGCATGTAAACAAGTGGCTAGAGTGCATAAAAAGCATCAGAATAGAGCTTGTTGTTAAATAAAAGCCCAAGGGAGAGTAACACATACAGGATGTTAGGTTTAGTAAGGGGGATAAGATTATAAATAAACTGATGTGTCCACACCATTCAATATCAAATGCCCTCCCATGGATTCAGGTCTGCCGCCAGGCCTGCTCCACTCATTGATCTCTGCAGTGTGTTTTAAATAAAGTAATAAGATCTGGTTGCTTTGGTTTCCCAAATAACAGATAGTCGAGAGGCTCTTCTTCTCACATCTAATTGGTCCCAGTTAAGAAAGTTTTGACGTTACTTCAAACCAGGAATAGAAAATCCGTCTCTGATTACATTAATAGTCAAATGTTGAATTTGACGAAATGCCATTCCACAAAAAAAAGACATCTTTTAATGTCAATTTAAACTGGCACCAGCTAAATTCACCAATTCATTTTCCACTAAGCCATCAATCTATTACATTGTATTTTGTTCTTGTCCCTCCTTAATATGGATCTGAGAAGCATCTCAACCCAATGATCTCACACTGTCACTGGTGTGACCTTTTTTGAATGTTTGCAGTATCAGACAGACTTTGGCTATGAGAAAGAGGGAAAAGGAAGCATGCAAATATCTATAAAGCCTTCACAATGGCCACCTGCAGATACTGATGTAAATCATTCAATTTTAAGGAGGATTGAATTGCCTGTCTGTGCTTGATTTGCATTGCGCCCGTCATTCAAGTTTAATCATTCCCTTAATAGCAAATGATGTCGAAGGAAAGCATTAGTCGCACCTAATAAGCATGAAAAGGGACGAACACGAGCAGAAGAGGCAATGGCAGGAAAAGGGAGATTGCTTAAGCTTATTTCTAATCGTCTTTATCTGTAGACAGTTACATAATCAGAAGGTTAGTGATCAACTATTTTTGCACAAACAATGTATTTAAATTGGCAGGACAGGGTCAAAAAAGATGGACATTTAAAGAATGAACAGGACTGTTTCGCTATAGGGGTGAAAAGATTTTGATCATCGAACTCAAAAGTTGTATTCTTGATTCTCCCATAAAGTATTTGACAAACACATATAATAATAATGAAATGAAACAAGAGAATTTTGATACTGTACAAACTTAAGCAGTATCAAATTGATAAACCAAAATATGACTGACTGACAAATTATATATAAACAAATGATCTACTTAAAGGTGGGGTAGGTAAGTTTGAGAAACCGGCTCGAGATACACTTTTTGTTATATTCCATGGAATGCTCTTAACATCCCGATAGCAATGAATATCTTAAGTGCTTTGACAAAATATCCATAAAAACACGTCATCTGTGGAAGCCGTAGTACTGTAAAAAGCACGACCAATCATTTTAGCCGGCCCGGCTAAAATAACTGGATGGCCTACCTGCCTGTCAGCCTTCCATCTGTGCACAACCTTATCTCGTGCCCTCATTGGTCATGTGCGCGTTCGTGTGTGTTGGAGGAGGGGCTCTGTAAGGAAGTGGCAGATTTTCTCCGGTTGTGTATTTTCAAATTCTAGCGATCTCGAGACGGTTTCTCAAACTTACCTACCCCACCTTTAATTACACGTCCGAAAAGAGGGGGGAAGAAGTTTACACTTATTTTATCCCACCCCTTCTCCCAAAAACTAAATTATTAACAAAATGTACATCTAAATGTCTACATACAATATACATTTACAATTATAAATAGATGCTTATCAACACTTACAATGACTCAGAACATCAAAGTCAAAGTCAACTTTAATGTCAATCTATCTCAGTTTGTGTTTACAGACAGAGATCCAAATGACGTTTCCAATCATCCCGAATGTAAAATTATACAGTATACAGATATGTATAAAAATATGTATTAAAATATGGTAATCCTATCAACAGACACATTTACACATATGCACACATTAAGATAAAAAAAACACAACAATCTATATATACAAAATAACAGTCACTTCAATATCAATCTCTTTGGTGCAAGATTGTCCATAAAATGTGCATTTATTGCAGATTGTCCATAGCAGCGTAAACAAAGTGTCTTGTGCTGGATTTGAGTGTCTGAGTGTGTAGGGAGTTATAGTCCAGTGGGGGCAGGGGAGAGAGGGGGGAGAGAGGGGACAGAGGGGAGATAGTTCAGCCTCCTGACAGCCTGGTGTAAACAACAGTTCTCTTGTCTGGTTGTGCTCGTCGACATCTTGGTGGAGCTTGCAGATAAAACACAACACAACACTTTACAGGAGCATGACGCTCAGCAGTAACACAGCGTAGCTTCCTGTTAGCTTGTAGCATTCAGGGACAGCAGCCACTGCTGGAGCTGAAGATGATGGAGAAACAGCTTCTGCTGCTTCCCTGCAGTCAGCGTGTCTCAACATGTTGTCTTCTCTTTGAGTGATGTGAACAACAAACATGTCGTTTACAGAAAAACAATAAAGATCAGGAAGCTTTTTGCGGGACAGGAAACTCTTCAACAAATATTGAATAGACAGTTGTGTGTGTCAAAAAGTTGTGTATATTGCTACTATCAACATTCATAACAGCATTATTGTTCATAATCGAGACATATGAGAGTGATACTGTGCATTTGGGATTTGTAAAGCTATTGTAAATAACACTTTACAACAGAACTAGTGTCACGATATGTCTGTGTTTTGTTTTTGTCCTGTGGAGATCTGTCTTTTTGGTTTCCTGTTTTAGTTTGAAAAGTGTTCACCCCCTGTCTCGTCTGTTGCTTCCTGTCTCTGTGTTCTCCTGCCTGATTACCTGATTGTGTTCACCTTGTGCTTTCTCCTCCCTCCTCACCTGTCTCTTGTTTCTTTGATTAGTCCTGTGTGCATTTAGGTTCTGCTTTTTCTGTCTGTCTTTGTGAGATCCTTGTTGTTGTTGACTGTGTTCACGGGGGAGAGAGTTCTGCTCTGTATGTTACTTGAAATAAAGGTATTTTCTGTTAAACCTGCATTTGGGTCCTGCCTGTTTCGCTCAACCCTGACAACTAGTAGCTACTTGTAAGATAAGATAAAGATTATCAGATAAGAGGTACTTTATTGATCCCAAATTGGGAATAGTTTGCGTTGCTGCAGCATAAAAAACTAAACAAAGCACATAAGTAGAAATTAAAGAGTTGAAATAAACAATTCAAGAATTTAAACATCTCAAAATTGACTTAAAACAGCGTTAAAAAGTAGGAAATATACTGTAGACCGTGAACATAAAACATGTATCAACTCTTTAGGGCTTTAGACACAATATAAAACAGGATATTATTTACATGTAGGGAATGGAATATTACATTAAATATAAATGTACAGTGTGTCCAGTTATGAAATTAAACTTTATAACAGAACTAGTGGCTACATTTGTTGATGTGTGAGGCTAATTGTCACTGAGCTGTTTTTGTGAAATGCAATCAACATTTGTAATGAATATGATCCCGTATGTGGCTTCAGAGTTGTATTAATCATGCTAGCTTCCAAGCTTTGCACATAAATGGTCATATTTGGTTTTATAACAGTTATGCCTCTCCTGCTATGACATGTAAGGAATAATAAAGCGCCTGTGGTTGCCTTACAAGGCTCTGCAGCTGGAGGGAGGCGTCTATCTGATCCTGACTGATTTGCACACAGGTGAGAGGAGTCCATATAACTGAGCAGAGGAGAAGCCACATCCAGCAGCAGCAGATCTGTCAGCATCAGGTGAGTTGTGCTTGTGTTGGATTCATTACAGAAGTTTGGGAAGCGATAAAGGTTAGAAGGGTCAGCTTTCTGTCCCCAGAGTCAGAACTAAACATGGAGAAGTTCACTTAATATGCTCCAAACATCTGGAACAAACTCCCAGAAACCTGCAGGTCCACTGCAACTCTGACTACTTTTAAATCCAGGCTGAAGACTTTTCTTTTTGCCGCTGCTTTTAATTGAACTATTCACATCTTAGACGGCACTGTAACTTCTATTCATGTATTTAGTCTTTTAATGTTTATTTTATTATCTTGACTGTTTTTAAATGCCATTTTCTTAAGATCTTTCATTGTTGTAAAGCACTTTGAATGGCCTTGTGTTGAAAGGTGCTATATAAATAAACGTGCCTTGCCTAGAACAGTCAGATGAGAGTTCAATAAAAGAGCCTAACGAGGGGGAACATGGTGAAAAAGCATCTTATTATTTTTATCTTGTAGTAGCATTTGCAGTCGGTTTCCAACATTTCCAAATGCTCGTGCTTCAGTGTTAGTCTCAGTTAATTAACACACTTTGCATT